GGGCTAACCTCCATTGTAGGCCTTCCAGTACTCTTTCCATCAGCTTCTCAAAAGTTGCTGGAGCATTGCTAAGCCCGAATGGCATCACACAATATTGCCAGAGACCTTGGACATAACTAAATGCAGTCTTAGGTTTATCTGGTTCAGCCATTTTTACTTGATGGAAACCTGACTTTAAGTCCAGAGTTGAAAACCACCTGGCCCCACTTAGGGCATCAAGAGTATCATCAATTTTTGGCAGTGGGTATGAGTGTTTTTCGGTTATACTGTTAAGAGTTCTGAAGTTTACACAGCAACGTTGGGTCCCATCCTTCTTCTGGACTAACACGACGGGAGCTGATCAGGGACTATCTGATTTCTCGACTATCCCTTCCTTAATTAGACCGTCCATGACCTTCTCTATCTCTTGTCGCTTTGCTGGAGCTATTCTTCTTGGAGGGATCTTTATTGGATGCTGATTGCCTGTGTTTATTCTGTGCTCCACAAGGTCTTTGCAGCCGAGGTCATGATCTCCTTTCGAAAAGACGTCTGCATAATTTGCCAAAAGTTCTTTTACCTGAAGAGCCTGTGATGATGCCAAATGGACTATGCTCCTCTTATAGAGGTCAGTTAAATGTTCTGGAAGTGTATGTCCTTGCTTTAACATTGACTGGCTCTACCTCCTGGCACACACCCAACAATGCCCCTTCCTTAAGTGTCTGCCCACATTTAGAGAAATTGGCCACTGTTATAGGTATTACTTGATGACCTGCCACAAGTGACCTTCCAATCTTCAAATCTGCTGGCTTGGATGGGCAAGCATTGGGCTTCCATGGGGATGTTCTTTTATCCTTCCCCAAATTATCTTCTCTGACATAGGGGATATTGTAGTTGACTTAAGTGCTGTGACATGCAAATCAACAGATGCAGCAACAATTACTGGAATTTTGCCTTTGTTGTTTCCAATCGTGATTTTATCGAAGTTAACTACACACTTACTCGATAGTAAATAGTCCAATCCTAATATGCATTGGTCTTCAATGTCAGCCAAGTATACTTTCTGTCTGTTCTTCATGCCCATGAGCTCAATAGCTACCCATACTGGTCCCCACAACCTTGCATAATGTCCTGTCACACCACAAAGCTTCTATATGGCTTCTGGTACTCCTTTGTGATCCAGCACCTTGATACTCACAAGGGTTTGCTGAGATGCAGAATCTATGACAAAGTTGCACCTTTGGCAATCCAGCTTTCCTGTCACGTAGACACTATGTGTGCTTGCCATTTTACACTTAGCTGTTGGGACTGTGATGATGGGGTTTGGTGGGCATCCCTCAGCACCAACCACTACTGGTTTCCCGAAGCTGACTTATTGGTAATATTCTTCTTACACTGGCTCCTCATGTGTCTTTGCTTTCCACAGTTCCAACAACCTTTCTGGGTAGCAGCCTTTTCTGTCGTGGCATCTTCCCTGTGTTTAAGTTGCCAGCACTGAGCTTTCTTGTGCCCAGGTTTATTACAGTGCCAGCAAAGTCCCTCAAACTTCTCTGCAAGCTGCCCTTTTCTGGCCTTGAATCCTGATGACTGTACCAACCTTGGTACATCTGTGCTGGACTTAATGTAGGATTCGAATTCAAGAGCTCTGGCCATTGCATGCTGAATAGTAGAGGGATGTGCTTGCTTCACTTGTATCTTCAGTTGTGGACTGTCCAAGCCATCTACAAATTGATCCCTCAGCAACAACTTGAGGAGATCGGGTGGCGCAGTTGGGTAGGTCTTGTGTGCCATACTTTCTAAATCCCATGCCAGCTCTTGCAGGCTCTCCCCTTTAGCACTGACTTCCGTCCTAAACCTAGCCCTGTAGACTTCAAACTGATTTTGGGTTCCAGACCTGAGTTCTAGAGCTGCTACCAGTACTCTATAGTTGTGCATGTCGTCTGCT